TGAGCAATGCTTATTGATTTAAATGGTGTTGTCAGTGAGCACGTCATTGTGCGCAGAAGTGCCCCAGCTGGCTCTGTCCATCTGCCTCATGAAGCAGTAGAACTTTGGCAAAAACTAAACAAAACCCTACCCTCTCCCTCCATCCCTCTCCTTGATCTTCAGCATCTCTGTGATGACTAATTTCAGGCGTCACCTAAGCTGAGCTCTGGTGCCAACGTTTAGTCAAACATCTTCTGGATGTTCCTATGATGGTGTCTTTGCATGAGTTTGATATTCATCATGAGTGGGCCTCATCCCCTCAATGAGTTGAAGGCCTCCAAAGGACAACAGGGAGCAAGAGGCATTCTGCCAGCAGACGCCTTTTGGAGGTAAACCGCCCCCTGGGCTCTTCCCTGGGTCTCCCACCTGCCAGCATGCTCTGCAGATTTTGGACTTGCCAGCCTCTGTAGTCACAGGAGACAATCTTTACAATAAATTCCTCTTTATACATTTTGCTGGTCTGCTTCTCTGCAACACCCTAATACAGTCTTCCCATTTGTATTTAAATATGCTTTTAAGTCTATTCCATCTTTTAAAAAGTCCTTCCTCAAGCCCCCGGCCCACCCACCTCTCACACTCTCTTTAAGGCCACATCTTCCAGGGGCTGTCTCCCCTTCTGTACCTCCTCACTGGCAAAGCACTCTAATCTGGATCCCATCCCCAGCTGTCCTCAAAAAGGCCGAGTGAAGGTCAGTGGTATCCATGTGGACGAAACCAACAAATGCACCATTCTCCCTCATTGACACTGATGGTGAGAAACTCACGGCTCAGTGTGTGCGGCCTGGTTTTCTCCCAAGCTCTAGCTCTTCTCTGTCCAAATCTCTCAGTGCTGCAGGTCTCTGGAGATCTTCCTGGCCTTCTTTCTTCTTTTTCTCTCCCCCTAGGTCATGTCACCCATGCTATGGCTTCACCTACCGCCTGTTTGCTGACTGTGCCCCAAACCTGTACTTCTCCTTCTGAGTTCCAGACACATGTATCCAACGGCCCATTTAACACTTCACCTGGGATGTTCAACAACTGGCTGTCCTTCAGAAATGGGCCCCCATCATCGAGAAGCAACCTAGGAGTGACCTTGGACATTTTTGGTGACATATACTATTACTCAATTTTATTTTCTGGGTAGTTTTCAAATCCCCATCTTCATCACAAACTAGGTTTTATCCACAATCTCTTCCCTCTGAGAACGCTCACGTATATAGATTCTCCCAGTGTTCTCTCTCCTAACACGTCCTAACAACATGTACAATTATTTACTTCCTGTTAGATGAAAAATTCCAGTGTCTGTTGTCCAGTCATAGATGACATTTATCTTTCCTTTTGACTGCCCAGCATCTGAACTCCCCCCCCCCCTTTTTTTCAGGCAGGTTGCTGGTTGAACCCACGGCCTTGCACATGCTAAGCATGCAGGTTCTATCCTGGAAGCATCAATCACTCCATGAATCCTGGTGGTGAAGGTACCTCCGCTCACCTTCCCAGCCTCTCTGGCAGGTAGAACACAAGCAATTCCCCAATCAGGCGTCAGTAAAAGGATTGACTCAAGACCTGGTGACCCTGGAGGAAAGGGCTGAGAAATCCATTTCTCTCCTTTAGGCAGTAGTGGTGGCAGGGGGTGCAAGGTGGGCTCCTGGGGCTGATGCAGCTGGGTATGGGGAGGTTCTTGGGTAGAAATGAGCAGGCAGTAACCGTGCAGCAGTTCCCATCGTGCTGCTGAGTGCCACCCCAGCCCTCCGTGCCCCTGGCAGCTTGTGACCTTCTGACAGACCATACCGTGCATACTGGTGGACTACACCAGAATCTCCCCAAGTTGTCCAATACAGAAGATGGATCTGGTGTCCTGGCAGAGTCCTGACATGGAGCCAGTGTGGACACGACAAACAGGTGCTGGTTAACAAAATGTATCCAACACAGGAGTCGTGGGTGCTTGTGTGGACTAGATTCCTTATCCTTACATATAATTAATTCCCAAAACTCACATCCATTTACATGTAAATGGCAAAAAAAAAATCACAAAAGTAAAACCAGTGGAAAACACCATTATCAGTTGATATTGGAAATTCCTTTCAAGTTGTGCTCACCACACAGTAATACATGACTTCTTTTCCAATGAGGGGAGGGCATATCCAAAAATAAAGTTGACTAGCAACCAGGGAGAGTGCCTTCTGTGAGGGACAGCTGTGCACTGAGTTAGGGCTACTGGCCACAGGCTGAAGCCCCAATGGAAGAAAGCACACAGGGATGGTTCACTACAGAACATGACATTTCTCTTCTGTAAAACCCACATAGTAACTGCCTCAAATGGGTGCTATGAGAATTAGAGCTCAAAGTCCAGAGTCAGGCTCGTGGTATGTGCTCCTTCATCGTTTCCATCATTAATTCTGGCCCTCTTCTTCTCACTCAAATCTGTTTTATTAACCTATAGGGCTAACACAGCAATGTTGAAGAAACCGGCAGCAGTTTTTTCATGCTATTCTCACACTTACACCCCACCCAAAGTACAGATTCTTTGGCAGGAACTTTATAGCACTTTATTTATAAAAAGCACAGATGTTATGAAAATTAACTTTCAGACAGTTGAAATGCTTAGACTTTTTTCTTTTTCAAATTTATTCCTAATGCTGAACATAGTGATGCCCAAATGGGTATCGTGAAAGCTCAAAATCTGTCTTCACACCAGGATTATTAGCGTTGCCATTTGCATAGAATAAAATAAACCCCAGTGACAACACTGCCTAGTGCTAATCCCAGGTCTCCCATGGAACTGCTGACAAGCATTTTCTAAGAACATGAATTATTGTAGTAATGTTTTGATTAGAAGCAGTGATTTTATGGATATAAATCGCTACTTCAGAATTGTTATATAAAAATAAAGACACTTTCAGATGCTTGCTCTAGAAAGAGGGGCTGGAGTGTGCAAGTAGCATCCCATTGTGTGTGACCACACATCAACATCAGTCAAAACTCAACAGTAGTCAGTCAAAACTCAATAGAAGGGAAGGGCTTGGTGGCACACACCTGTTAATCCCAGCAGCTCAGGAGGCTGAGGCAGGAGGATTGCGAGTTCAAATCCAACCTCAGCAAAAGCAAGGCTCTAAACAACTCAGTGAGACCCTGTCTCTAAAAACAAAATAGGGCTGGGGATGTGGCTCAGGGGACAAGTGCCCAAGTTCAATCCCTGGTACACTCCCCACCCCTCAAAAAAAACCTTAACTGAGGGGCTGGAGTTGCAGCTCAGAGGTAGATCACTTACCTAGCATGTGTGAGGCTCTGGGTTCGATCCTCAGCACCACATAAAAATAAATAAATCTACAACTAGAAAAACAAACAAAAACCTCAACAGATGATAAGATCACTATTTGTAAATAAAGCATGTCTCTAGGAAAGGAAGACATCTCGGGTTCACGCAGAATTTTAATCCATCGGTTCAATGCATGTCACTTCAAGATTTCTATGAGCTCTAGTCTATTATGATTCTAATTAACTTTTTTTTTCTCAAAAATGAAAAAATTCAAACACCTTGTGCTATTCTATGCAACTTGCTTTATAATTCAACCGTTCACGATTCCTAGGTTATCTCAAAACATGCCACTCACTTCAGCTAAATCCAATAGTACTAGCTTGAAACTAGTTTGGGGTTGCTGAAAATTACTGAACTTTGTTTTGAATAAATACATTTAACATGCATGAAATTGTTAGCACTATGTCAATTCTGAGACTCAGTGAGAAATATAGACCGGACACTCACCTACAAGGGCTACGAAGGAGCTGGACAAGTAAACAGAACAACTTTAATAGGTAACTGGTGGGACAGTGGGGACAAACACCAGCTGTGCCAGATTACAGAGGCAGCACCTACCCTAGCTACCAGGGGGTGTGACCTACGCTGATCCTGAGACATGCAGGTGAGGAAAAGGGTGGGCGAGGGAAGGACACTTTCAAAGGGCCAAGGGTTAGAAGAGTGAAGATGGGAGTAAAGAAGAGCCACTGGCAGACAAGGCCTCAGAGAAGCCAACCTGAGCCATTTGAGGGGACTACAACTATCTCCAAGACAATGGGGACCAACCATTCGAGGATTTCAGGGGACACAAGATAGTATCAGATTTATATTTTAGAGCAATTACCATGAATGCTGAGAGAAACATACTAAGCTGAGAGATGGCAGCCTGAAGGAAGCCGGGAAGGCAGGAAAAGTAGGCGGAGCCAAGTACAGCTGACCCTCTTCTCCTTGACGGAATGGGTCCAGGACCTCAGGGGCTACCCAAATCTGCAAATGATCAAGTCCTTTGTGAAAATGGCAAAGAATTTGCACATAATCTGTGCAATCCTCCTGTATGCTTTAAATCATTCCTAGATTACTTTTGACACCTGATACAAGTGCTGTGTAAGTAGCTGTTATATTGTATTGTTTAAAGAAAAACCACCACCCCCCAAAAAGTTCTGCACATATTCAGCAGACACAATTTTTTCCCCCAAGTATTTTCAAATCACTGTTAAATGAATCCATAAATGTGGAACCATGGATGCAGAGAGCCCACTGTACAGGGTGTTTCTGAGGCTGAAAACGGAACTCAGGGCCTTGTGCACTCAGAGCGCACACCCCACTGAGCTGACCTCCAGCTTCTTCTTGGGCACACCCAATTTCCTTCTGAGCATTTGCACTTGTTGAACACTGGCTGGTCTCCTGGCTTTCGCTCTACCGTCTCCTCTGTGAACAACATCCCCTCGGCTGGTGGAATGCTCTGAAGGCTCCAGACCCACCGGGCTTCACACACAGCAGCTGCAGTGCTCCATGAGCACTATGTAGGGACCACTGCTCTGAGAAGAGGAAGCCCGGAGGGCAGCAGCGCCACCCGACTCTCCCAGAACAGCCAGGCACCATGGCAAGTTTTGCGTAAACACAGGAGGCCTTGTGACCTCTGAACTCCCAGGCAATATACACAGTACAAAATAATATACTGACAGAAAAAGTTTTGTGAGAGCTTTAATGGCACAAAATGTTTATAGCTACAAGTTATACATGTATTGTAAACTGTATTTAATGATACAAAATGCTAACTAAATAGATGAAGAATGCATATTCACTTTGGCTCAGTTAAGTCCAATAATTTCAATATCTGTTTTTTTTATAAATTCATCTAGCTGGCTAAGTCTTCAATTTTCTTTTCTTTTCTTGATTTTTTTAGTCTAGTAAATAATTTTACTGCAATCAAGGTAACTTGCTACACTTTTCAATGTGCAAGGTTGTGCAGTTTTGCTCTTGATGTTATTTACAAATATTTTAAGCCAGTTTTCATCAAACATAAGAAAATGAAACCTGCCTTTTCAGCCCCAATTTGTAAACAGGTGTAAAGCTTTTTAAACATTAATCTCAGAATTTCAACTGTTAATCGTTGAATTCTCCTTCCCAATCAGACAGTGTGTTTTCATTCAACAAAAGTCTAGGAGGAACATAAACATTCATCCCACATGTTAAGGACTATAGATAAATACTGCATGAGCTCCTCCTGTGGTGAGTTCTACTGTGATAAAGTATTCATGTCTGAAATCATTTTCCATAACTTCAAAAAGAGCAACACTGAACTTATTTTCAATGCTGGAAAAAAAAAATCACAAATATACCCAAAATCCAATGGCACTACTGATAAACTGCTACTGAATTTAGAAAGAGGGCAATGTATTGCCTATAAAAAGTTGCTCTTAAAGTACAATTTTCTTCTTCTCTCCCATGCCACCAATTATAATACAAATTGTATTGTTATAGCAGTTTAGTTCTTTTTATCAGCCTTTCCAATTTTATTCAGGCTCTTCAAAAACAAACAAACAAACAAACAAACAACAACAGTGGACCATCAGATATACTTTCTTCCCAAAGAAACTGAAAAAGACTTGAAATAAATAGGTTAGAAGGCAAATCAAATGCTACCAGTAAGACAGAAACAAGTTATAATAAAAAAAAGATGTCCAAAATTATTTAGATATCAAATGATAGAAAGAAAAAAGAAAATAATTCAGGAAACTATTTTGGATATATCACTTTTCTTAAAGATAGCCAGTTATGTTCTCAAAAAAAAGCAGAAAATAATTTTTTATTGAACCTGTGTTACTTCCCACTGTAATATATCATTTTTACCAACCTTGATTCAAGAAAGAAGAGTTAGTTTCTGCAAACTGGCAAACCTGGTTGTCATAGTGTTTTTATTCAAGTCAACCTGATGCATTTTATAGATTGCTAGCTTTAAATTTTAACAATTTTAACAATTGGTTCTCTAAATATTCAACAGCAATGTCTACATCATAAACAGTAATAGTTTTTATATATAAAACATACAGTAGTATCCTTCAGAGTCATGCTGTATGTTCTGAAATCCAATAAAATCTACTTGAAATAACTGACAATCCTGATGCTTTCTAACAATTTGGTCCTAAAAGCTTCACATTTTAGAAACAAACGAAAAAGCACGTTGTTGAAGGGACCTGCTGAGTGTACTGAAACGTCAAGAGTTTAACATAATTGAAAAGACTATCACATGAGAAAATCACCAACGCCCATGGAATCCCAGGGGCCACCTTGGGAAGACGCACAGTAAACACCAGCAAGGGAGGGACCAGAAGGAAACGAATGGCATCTTTCCAGAACTTTGCCAACTGTTCCCACAACCCAAGTCTGCTTTTCAAAGTTGCACAAGTGCTTGGAATAATTCTGAAGCAATTTTCTTCAGAGTTTAAAGGCTTCAGAGTATAAGTGAAGCTTCCTAAAACAAGAAGCCTATGTTAACACCAAAAATGGACTCACTCAAGTCTCTTCTTAGAGGAAAAAAAATGAAGGAAAAAAAAAAAAAGTAAAGTCATGAAAAATTCACATGCAGCTACTACACGGAAATACCAAATACACAAAAAACTCAAAAGCAATTTGCATGACTAGGCCTGAGACTTCCTTATCAGAAATAAAGATTCCACATCATAGAAAAGACAGCATTACAGCATACTACTAATAAAATCTGCTGATGTATCTTAGTTCTTACTATATTTCCTACCTATCATTTACACAACCCGCCTCCTAAAAACTAAAAGACGTTATTAGGAGGCTTAGAAAAAAAGTGGCTCCAAAGCTGGTTTAAAATAATTTTTTATTGCCCAGGATATTTTTTCTTGTGTCTTGCTTTTTATTGTCATTGTTTTTTTTTAATTTGTTTTGTTTTGTTTTTGCTTTCTTTTTAATAACTAAATTCAAGCTTTGGGAAGAGCTTGACTGTCTTGGAAAACAAAACAAAAACTAAACAACAAAGCATTTTATATCATTTGCTAACCTGATCTCATTTCAAGATAGACGGTAGTTACACTGCCAGAGTAAAATTCCTACCATGAGTGATGCAGGTCTAATTCTGGTGGTACTAACAGGAGACAACAGCATTGTTGACAAAATTATAATCTGCTGGTGGCATTTGCGGAAAAAAAGCCCTTGCAAATTTCTAAATTCTGTTAGGAAATTCTAAAGTGTCTTACAGGCCAAAAAGGGAATAAAGTTAGTAAAATGACTCAACCGAGTTTGAATAAAATACTGGAATTGAGAGTTACTGGACTGGATATGTAAAAATAGGGGGGAAGGTTGGTCATGCTTACAATGGTCTCAAGTTCAAATAAACTACTGTGACAATACACCACTTCACAGGCCACAGGCATCTCCAGGGGCTTTTCCTTCCCTCAGTAGGTGCTGGCAGAAGGTGTGCTCAGTCGTTTTCCAATATAGATGCTGAAAGGAAGCAGAGCGATCATGTCTTACTTGTTTCTACATCTCTATACCAGCTTGTCCACAGGATGATTCCAACTGAAGAACTATAAGCTTTCTAGTTCTTGCAAAAGGCTCCAACAGTATACACACACAGCTCTCAATTCTGACTCCCTGGAGCTACCACTTTATTTATTATATATTTCTGTGGTGCTGGGGATGGAACTCAGGGCCTCACATGTGCCATATTAGTGCTCTCCCACTGAGCCACATCCTCAGTCCACTGACTTTTTTTAAAATTTTATTTATTTGAATTTTGGGGGTGTGCTGGGGATAGATCCCAGGAACACTCTATTCCTCAGCTATATCCCAGTCCTTTTAATTTTTTATTTTGAGACTGAATCTCACTAAGTAACTGAGGCTGGCCTGGAACTTGGGATCCCCTTGCCTTAGTCTCCTTGGTACGTGGGATGACAGGCAGGCAAACCAGTCACCAGCCCTGCAGATCTGGTTTTATCTGATTCTGGTTACTCATTAACTCAGGACTGAACAGCCAAAGAGAAGAGGTCTTCTTCTCCTTTGAGATGTTTCTTTCTGTGGACAAAAAGTTCTATTGCTACTTCAGGTATTAAAAAAAAAAAAAAATGTGTGAAATTACTTGGGTGCTAGGTTTAGGCAAAAAAATTAGAGCCAGCAGTGCCTTTAAGATGGCTCTTACTGATTAGAAATAAATAAAAATACCAAAAAAAAAAAAAGGCTCTTACTTACTACAACTCTATAAAGGATTAGGATCCCAATGTGACTTTTCCATTCCAAGCAAGTACTTGACCTCTTAATAACACAAGCAAAGGGAAATTAAGGCAAATAAACAACTACCTCTACCCCCAGTACAATAAAAGCAACTTAATGTTTTTAAGCCCTTTTCTTAACATTCATCTATGTCAACAGCTACACTTGAGGCAAGAAGAGTCTGAAGATTTACAAAAGCAAGAAATACTGCAAGGTCAAAAAACCACCTCTTTAGGGCAAATGAACTACTGAGCCCTTATAACTTACTAAAATCTAACCCCTGCCTCAGGGACCATACCCCCCCTTCCTCCTTAAGCACCTCTCTTTCTGATGCTTTTGATCACCCTTACTACCTCACTCAGGCAGACCAAGCATCAGGAGAAACAAAGGGTATGGGATGTTACTGGGATCTGCCTCTGTGATGCTGAGCTCCTTATGGGGAAGGTAAGGGATTATCCATCTTTTGAGGATTATACATGAAAAATGACCCACTGGGCATGCTTAAAAGCATAACACGTCTTTAAAAAATAAAAACAAAACAAAACAAGCCAGGTGTGGTGGCACATGCCTATAATCCTAATGACCCAGAAGCCAGCCCCAGCAAAAGCAAGGTGCTAAGCAACTCAGTGAGACCCTTTCTCTTAATTAAAATATGAAACAGAGCTAGGGATATGGCTCAGAGTTGACTGCCCCTGAGTTAATCCCTGGTATGCGCCACCCCCCCCCCCAAAAGAATGGCTGGAGACATAGCTCAGTGGTAAACTGCCCATGGGTTCAATTCTCAATAGCAAAACAAAAACAAAGTCTAAAATTAAAATTTCACTTAGTGGATTAAGGTGAATATCTTGGGCTGGGGATGTGGCTCAAGTGGTAGCGTGCTGGCCTGGCATGCTCAGGGCACTGGGTTCAATCCTCAGTACCAAATAAAAATAAAATAAAGATGTTGTGTCCAATGAAAACTAAAAAATAAAAAAATATATTAAAATTTTAAATGAATATCTTATTTCCAAATGAAGGGAAAAACCTATTATTAAAACTGCCTTGGGTTGGGGTTGTGGCTCAGAGGTAGAGCACTTGTCTTAACACATGTGAAACACACATTCAATCTTAAACACCACATAAAAATTAAAAAATAAAGGTCATCTACAACTAAAAAACAAAAACAACCCCAACTGGCCTATAGGTAGACCAATCAAATCATGTATCAAATTTAACTTATCCATTTTTTTTTTTTGGTACTGGGGATCAAACCAAGGGGCACTTTACCATTAAGCCACATCCCCAATCATTTTTATCTTTTTATTTTGAGACAGGGTTTTGCTAAGCTGTCAAGGCCTTGAAACTAAGATCTTCCTGCCTCAGCCTCCCGAGCTGCTGGGATTACAGGTATATGCCACTGTGCCCAGTTTAATCATTGTTAAGTTTACTTTATTTAAACTAAAATTTACTTTATTAGAACTAAAACATGAAAAGCAAACCAATATGGGGCTGGGGCTGTGACTCAGTGGTAGAGCACTTGCCTGGCACATGTGAGGCACTGGGTCTGATCCTCAGCACGACATAAAAATAAACAAAATAAAGGTATTGTGTCCATCTACAACTACAATATTTTAAAAATTAAAAAAAGAAAAAAAAGCAAAGCAATACAAACTGTTTTCCCATGCATTTCTTACATCTCCACAAAAAGTATGAGGATGAAATGAATGGAAAAAATTTTAATAAGAGTTCAATGGTACTTACCCTAGCCCCAAAGCCAAAACATGAGAAAGGAAGAGAGATGGAATGAACACCTTCAGAAATTCTGCAGAAAAAATACCACCTTTCTTCATGGCTCCACTTTTCCTCATGCTTAGAGACACAGAGCGCTTGGGGTGTCTGAAGTGGAACTCCCTGAGAGAGGAATCCAGAGATGGAGTCAGAGATGCATTTGCTGGACATACCTCAGGGGTCTCCAGGTCCCCTGCAGAACCCATAGGGAGACGCAAAGAACTTACTTGGGTGGAACATTTTCAGGTCTACTGGACCAGTCGGATACCCAGTCTGCACTTTTCTTCAAAGCCTCAACTTCCTTCTCTCCTTCTACCACTTCTTCTTCTGACTATAAAGAAGAATTCAACTTTCAACAAAGAATTTAAAAAAAAAAAAAAGGTACAATTCCTTCTAATACAAAAACAAATCTGTGGACAGAAAATTAAGAACTATACTCAGAAGGTTCTGCCCCATTTTCATAATAGAAAAAGGCTATTTTTCTAAAAAGCTGGCAAAATGACCTAAGAGTATCCTAAAATGAACTCAGTGAGCTTGACTGTTGGTACAGTGAAGTATAAACTATGAACTTCAAAACTATTTGAGGATACAATGATATTAAAGTTTGGAAAATCTAGATAATTATTCAATCCAGTGCAGATGAACATCCATTACATTATTTACCTTATTTTTATATGCATTTAGATTTTCAGAGAAAAAACTAAATAAACACAAACATACCAAAAAAGATATAACAAAAATACAAGTGCTGAAAAGCAAATCAAGTGGGAAATGTGATAAGGAAATAAATAATGGTCTTAGCATTTAGACGACCACCGTTCTAGAGGCTTTATATTCATCAATTTTCACTTGTATCAAACCCTATAAAATAAGACTGTTAAAACCTACTTTCTAGATGGGGAAACTGAGACACAGCATTTTGTACCCTGCCTAAACTTCCACGGTTAGGAAGTGACAGGGCAAGCATGCAATCCAGGCAAACTTTAACACACCTGCTCTTAAGCAACAGGTTTTACTCTCTGGAAGTAGATAACAATTTTTAGATAAATCACTATCCAAATATTTCCCAAGGTTTTGACACCATGTTAGCAACAAGTTTTTTGGAATAATCTGTTTTAAACTAAGTCAAGAATTTAACACTTACTCTATCAAATAAATGAAAAAGAAATTTTTATTGCTAATGACAACCTGAAGTTTCAGGCCAAGATATGAGCCAAGAACAATTAAAGTTTCCAAAAGCTTCCCTTTAACAGAACCCACAGGACTAAGAAATTCCTCAGTATTATTTCTTCAATTTTAAGGAATGCAACATATGACCCCAAACCAAAAGATCTCAAAGCTACAAAGTGTTCTCATTTTGTTTGCGTAGGACTGTCTCTCTCGCCACAGCTTTCATTCTGTTCAGGAGACAGTTGCAAGGCAAAGCCTGGCATGTTCACAGCCTTCAGCTCTGACAGGTCTAGTTTATGGCTGTCCAAGGAAGAGAGCTTGAGACTGGATCTCTATACAATCCTTTTCCCCAACAAAACCAGAGCAAATCCCTGTGGATTCTTGCTACTCGTCAGTATCACTCTTATCTAGTTCTGCTGAACTTGGCAAATCCCAATGAATGACACACAATGCAGCATTTAGAATTGAGCTTTTCCACTGGGTATTGGAGATTACTCAGAATCATGAGTTGGCTCTTTGGAGTGGCACTGAAATCATCCTAAACCAAAAACAATAAATTGTTACAATTTGCATACAGACTAGTTTGTGTGCACACAACATCTGACTCCTCAACATACTGCAGATAGCTTCTGAAGTTGCCTCCTGTGGCCTCCTATCTAAAACTGCTCACAGATTTAGCTCTGAATTCTGAATACGTCAGTATTTTGCACTTTCCAACAGAGGGAACATGCAGTAAGAGCTTATGCTTTTTTTCCCCCCTAACATGAAGGGATTTTTCTCTCAGCTGAGTAAAGCAAAGTTTTCTCTGGAATAGCATTTTAAAAAGCTAAAGAAATTTCTTATTCTAATGTTTACATAAAGAATGGTAAGCTCCCCTCATTTGGCACTGCTCTGAGCGTCCTTTCATTTATCTTAAATTTAATTTTCAGGTTTTAAATTGTCTTCCACTTCTTGGAATGGCCAAAAAATGGTAAAAGTGCACTTGATCTAATTATATGAGATTCATGCTTTTAAATGAATCAATGATCTTCTCTCTGCACTTACATCTATTCAAAGAAGAGTCGGGCATTTCAGACTGTTGTGTGGGAGCCCCTTATCTTCACAGTTAGATTTTCCTTCTCTGGCCAATCCTGTTCTCTTAGGTCTCTAAAGTGAATATTAAACTATATACTGTGATCCATGAACAGACCAGTTTTACAAGACAGAGAAGGTTATTTCTAGTTTGAATCATCTTCCAATGATACCCAACACTCTTTGGTCCTGAAATACAATGCAAAAATGTCTTGAGATCACCTGTGGTCCATTTCCTGATACAAAATGGTTGAAAATGGAGACTTGAGTACTACTATCGGAAAAGTAGTTTTAACTATCTTTTCCCTAAATGTATTACCTTAGCAGTCCCCATACTCATAACTCATCAGACCTGTTAGTTCATTCACAAGCCCTATGAGCTCCCCTGCGACCAATTCCATTCAGTGGCTAATTTCAGTAGAAAGAACAGGGATCATGCACAGCTTAGAAAGACCCGTTTTCTTTCCTTAAATTTTTTTAAAAAAAAAAAAATATGTTTTAGTTGTAGTTGTACTCAATATATTTATTTATATATTTTTATGTGGTACTGAGGATCGAACCCAGGGCCTTGCACGTGCTACGTGAGCGATCTACCACTGAGCCACAAACCCAGTCCCAGAAAGACCCATTTTCAATTATAGCTCTAACATAAATTGCTTTGTTGTCTTAAATAAGTAACTTAATTGGGGCAAAGCTTCATTTTCCCCATTTGTCCAAGGGGATGATATCACCTCTTTCACTGGACTGAGAACATTAAAAGTGAGAAGTATTTTTAAAAATAAATTTAGCTCCTAGCACACTCCTGGTAAATGTTAGTGCCTCCTCTCCTTGCTCCTCCTAGACAGGCTTGAAAATGTCATCCATCCTTTATAGAGAGACACACATGAAAATATCCCATGTGATGAAGCATACTAACAGTCCTTTGTTTACTGTTTTTAAGTGTTTCTTAACCCTAAACTTTCTTCTCATTCATGAAAAAAAGTAATTTTTCCAAATCCCAAAGTAAGTAATTTTAAATTGTTTCTTCAATTTAAAAAGAAAAACAATGCAAAAGGCTTTTTCAAAGTTTAAATAAATGATCCCTATTCATATCTACCTGTTAATACAGTCTTACTCAGCAATGTTTTTCTTACAAGAGTTAGGGACTGCTTCTGCCAAAACTTACCCTTGTTTCAATGGGCTGATCTGTCAATGTGGCTTTTCCTTTGCCTGAGGAGAGTCAATGCTCTTTTAGGTACTTGTTTCTGATTAGGGATCCACTGGTAATCCTACTAGAATCTGACACAGTGAACTCTTGAACTTCACAAATTCCTCTGAAATTCTAAAGTGGATGTATTCAGCTCTAGAATTCCATGTCAACTCAATGATCAGGAGAGCTTAAGGGTATAGCTGCCATTCCATAACCCAGGAAAGTACTGATCAAAGTATTCCATGGGATTATTGAGATAGTAAGGGGGCAAGTATGTATGAGGAGGGGAAGGTCTAAGGTCAAATAAGCTAGAGAAACATTTGGTTTAGTGAAACTGGATTTCTTTAACGCAGGAATTTTCACAGCTACTACCTTTGGTGACTACTGCTGAGGAGTCAGGCTGTACTATTTTCCACTAATTTGACTTCAGAACTGTTTTATGGAGCTTCCCATTGAGCAAATATTCCTCAGACACATTTTGGAAAACGCCAATCTAGATCTTCAGTCTGTATATAGAAGCTGATACTGATTGAAGACTACTTCTTCAGGGAAGGCTATGACACATATTTAATTTCATCTATCTATCTCTCTCTCTCTCTCTCTCTCTCTCTCTCTCTCTCGGATCTTTGCCATACTTCCTGCAATGGGGACAAGTACTTTTGTAAAAATTAGTTACAGTTTACTGTATGGGGCCAAACTGACATACATTAGCCAGAGAATCAACAATTCTCATCAGATCACCTCATTACACAAAAGCTTTGCCATTTGCTATAAACTTCTCTACAGAATATGGCCCATCATAAAACATATGGTATTCAATCTGTACATTTTCTAGGTTTCAGAGAATGGTAAAAATAGAGCACAGCCCAAATATGGAGAAACTGTGCAGCTTTTTGAAATGGATTACTGGGCAAATCAAGTAACAGGAAAACTATTTCTATTGCAAAGGGGCCAAGGATCATGTATAGTGAGAACACTGCAAAACAAGGGTTTTTAAAAAAATAACTCATGTTGGGCTGGGGGTGTGGCTCAAGTGGTAGCACGCTCGCCTGGCATGCGTGCAGCCCGGGTTCGATCCTCAGCACCACATACAAACAAAGATGTTGTGTCCGACGAAAACTAAAGAATAAATATTGAAATTCTCTCTCTCTCTCTCTCTCTCTGTCTCTCTTTAAAAAAAAAATAACTCATGTAAACATTCATTCAATATTTTTCAAGCGCCTAAACACAGGATAAAAAGAAGATGGTTTTTGCCCTCAAGAATCTGCACTCAAGTCAGGTGTAGTGGAATACACCTATAATCCCAGCAACTTGAGAGACTGAGGCAGGAGAACCAAAAGTTCAAGACCGGCCTCAGCAACTCAGTGAGATCCTATCTCAAAATAAAAAAACAAAATGAGCTAAGGATGTGTCTCAGTGCTAAAGTGCCTCTGGGTTCAATCCCCAGTACCAAAAAAAAAAAAAGATAAAAGTTGATCTGACACCTACGTAAGATTAAGGGTAAGCCATGAATGTTCTAAGTCATTAGCAACAATTATACACTCACCATATTTTATGTTTTTTGATGCAAACCTCTGTAAGATTTAATTTTTTCCTTTTTTCTTTTAATACTATACTTCCAACCATATCAATTTCTAGTGAATTATTTATCTTCTTTAATTCAAGGAGTCTTGCCAAAATTTAGAAGAATGTTTCTCTCTTGCTGCAAATTCACCTTGGAAGTCGCTGCTTTGATTTCAGATACAGGTAAAGTTTTCACACTCGATTCTAACACAGCCTTCATTTGAATTTATTGCAATCTTAAATAAGACATCTCAGTTTTTCTATTTATAAAGTCAAAAAGTAGCCTGGAATATTAGGAATGTTACATCATAGACAAAAATTTTCCAACACTTTTAGGGTGAAAGGGCCCCAAATTCTTAGATCTAAAGAAGTGCAACAAGAACAAATATTATCCTAAATAACTCCAAAATTGGAAATTGAGTAACTTAGAACAGCTTCAAACTATTGTTAAGATTTCTGAATAGTCTTCTTTCTCAATATACTTCAGCAAAAGACTTAAGAGAACTTTCATCACTCCTAACTGCTTACTTTACTATAAATGAGAATAATAAACACACACACCTGAGAACTATGGTCCCTGCTGGTATGCATCTCCACATCAAACATGATCTGCCCATCTTCTTGAGGTGAAGGGCTAGGAGAGAAAGAAATGAGCTATTAGCTTTACCCCTCTTCTTATCAAATGAATTAGTCTTTACATGAAATTAGAAAATCAAATTACAGCAAGATGACTATACACAAGCAGTTAATCCAAAAGTATATCATAATCCTAAACAAGCAAATTTCATGTGATAGAAAATGACTAAATAAAATCAAAGGCTCTTACAAATTGTTCCAGACTTCACCAGTGGTGATGAATTCCTTTACAATGCTAAATCTGCAATTTAATAAAGCAAATGATGTCACATTCTCTTGTTTTATTCTTTTTTTTTTTCAAATAAAAGCAAAATGATCTTCAAAGTCAGAAAGCAAAATGATCTTCAAAGTCAGAATCCTAGCTTGGGGTTCTTTCAAAGTTTTTTCATCATTAAATAATTTGCTCCAGCAGTTCTCTAAGTATGAAGAGTAGTTCTGAAGGACTACTTCATAGGGTCTTCAAGGTAAAGTTTTCTTTCACAATATTATTAGGATTTATTTGCTATTTCCATTGTCATTATCTCATAAAATTATAGCAGAAAATTCTACCTGATGTGTAATATTACAGCAGATTGGATATAAAATCAGGTGAGAATCCACCTATTCTCTAATAAGCCAGATATTAAATTTGTGAAATATAAGACAACTGTCACTATTTCTTACTAATTTTTGTTATGATAAAGCTATTTTTTACTCAAAAAGTTACTTATGTTCATATGTAATAAGTTTATTATTTTTCAATGAATAACTACATATTCTAAATTTTGTCCTAATTTCTTTTTCAGGGGGAGGTGGTGAGAGGATTGGATTTAGGCTCTCAATTGTGCTCTACCACTGAGCTTCACCACCAGCCCCATTTGTAAATTTCTAAAACAGTAAATATCCAAATATACAATCTACATGCAAAAGCTCTTTGGCATCTCTAATAATTCTTCAGAATGTAACAGAAACTGAAAGGTTTAAGAAACATTATTCTATTTATTTCAAAAATACGTGCTCTGAGATATTTCAGAGTGAACGATATAAACTTATATCTGAACACAAACCTTTATGCTAGTACAAAATATATTCCCAGAACTACAAAATCTACTCATGAATTCTCAGGCAAAACACATGATCACAAAGTATACTTGTTACAATCGATGAATATAATGTGCTAAGTCCATTTCTTAGTTTTATCAATGATACTGTGTAACTACAATGAGCCACCGGAATTTTCAATAGACACATTGTGTTCCCATCCCATGAAAAATAAAACAGGTCTGAAGGTGTATCTCAGTGGTAGAGCACTTCCTAGCATGGGCAAGGCCCTGGATTTGAACCCTAGCACCAAAGAAACAAACAAATAAACAAACACTCAAATAAAATAGAGGTGAAAAATAGACTGTGTTACCTTGCTCAAAGGAACAGACATTAACTACTAAAGTCACCAAGGGCATGTGTATAAGGTCACTGGAGATGTTAGTGAGAAAGCTTCCAAGAGAAGCCACTATGTGGTCATCAAGACCCTGACCTGACCCATCCTGGCACATGGCACCACTGATAGAGGAAAGAAGGAGCCAGGAGGCTTCACACATGTCCCCAGGAGTGATCTCTGAGGAACATCAGCTGACTCCTAAGACTATATAGGAACAAGGTCAGTTTTGACCAGCTTGGTCTTAAATACCTGGCAGGAGAGTACAGCCTGAGCACAGTCCTACATGGACATTTAAAAGGGGGAAAAATTTTTTTTTAATATAATTTAAGACTTATACTTGTGTCAGCCCTAACAAAAGTAAAGCTGGAGACTGTAAAGGAAGGGTACTCAAGAGTGCCTAATATTTAACTATCACAAAGGACTCTAGAGACACAGGCTGTCCTGCATTCTAGAGACTGGTTGAAATACTAATTGTTTTCATGTTAAGTGTTTATCAAAAAAGTAATGCTTTGCTGTCTTGTTTATTGTTGTCCCAGCATAAACCTTGCCCTATATATACCTTGTCCAGTCACCTGCCAACTCCCACCATGTTCCTCTGGACTGCTATGATGCTGAATACCCATAACTGTCCATGCCCCTCCTGACAGAAAACAAGAACTCTAGGTCACTTCCCTCCAACTTCGCCCTCTCTCAGCAGGAAATAACTTGGAGATGTCATCTCCCACTTTTCCATAGAAATGGAAGGTAGAAATTGACAGTGGGGAAATGAAACAGTGTTACCTTCACCTTCTGAATGTAGCACTCATTGTGCTAAGGCTTATTTAAAAAAAAAAGATTTTTCCTCTCTTCTCCCCTCTCCCCCTCCCTAACAAGATTGGGGAGACAGTGTTATCTTTTCTTTCCCTAGTTAACTGCCTTGGAACACACAAACTACACATAGGAGAGGCCTGCTGAGGATCTGGGAAGTGAATATCTCCCAAATTAACAAGTGAATCCTATCATGCCATCAGGGGGCTTCCTACCGGAGCACACCTGGAATGTAACCCTTGAAGTTCCTTTAAAACCCCCTTCAAAATGGATGGCATTAGGGCATATTATGCTAAGTAAAGTTAGCCAATCCCAAAAAACAAATGCCGAATGTCTTCTCTGATATAAGGGGAGTGACTCAAAATGGGGTAGGGAGGAAGAACATGAGAAGATTACCTCTAGATAGGGAAGAGAGGTGGGAGGGAAAGGGAGAGAGAAAGGGAATTGCATGATGAGGGAAGGAGACCAAGACTCCCCTTCGTCATACAGAATACAGGTATGATGATGTGAGGGAAAAAAATAAAAAGAAGTGGGTCACATTAGATTGGGTAGAGAGAAGTGATGGGAGGGGAGAGGAGGGGAATCGGGGAATGGAAGAACAGCAGAATAAAACAGACATTATTATTACTGTGGGTATATACATGACTGCATGACCAATGTAATTCTGCAACCTGTACACTCAGAAAAATGAGAAATTATAACCCATTTGATTAAAATGTATGTCAAGATCATTGTACTGTTGAGTGTAACTAAGTAAAACAAATAAAAATAATAATAATTACGCAATCACAAAAATAAATAAATAAATAAATAAATAAAAATAAAGCCCCCCAGTCCCTACTGAGAGAATCAAAGACTTTGGGAAAGGAGTCCCCTGGGTTTCTCTTTTGCTGGCAAAGCCATAAACCTTCTTTTTCCTTTTTCTAAAAACAAAAATAAGACCACCAGAAATGACTTATTAGGCCTAGGTATCTTAAGACCAGTACAGTCAACATAGGAAATTCTTAAATGATAGGAAAAGGAAAAAGATGGTTCTATGTCAAACAAACATATCACATAAACTTTAAAAACTTTTCTCTTAAATAAGAAATGTCAGCAATAGCACAGGAAACAAACAGAATGAGGTATTCTTGTTCTCAGTTTACTGTAATTGTTCTTATAAAAATGTTGGCATCAAGTTCGGGGCCATCTTTACATATAGCTGGGACCAAATCAAGACAGGCAGAGTGACAAGGCAGGAATCCTACTGCAGCACCACTCTACCTCTGCACTACTGCCACAAGCACCAATCTCGCTCCCAGAAATACTAGCTCTCCCCTGGTCAACTGTTTGCTACTCCTAACAATTTGGAATACAATAAGGCTTCAACCATAGCTCCTATGGAGAAGCTGGGAGGTTGTAAAATATCCCAAATCTCTGCCTCACCCCTTACAACTGAATCAGCAGCTCTAAGGATGGGTTTTTGCACTGGTATTTTTAAAAGAGCTCTGATGAATTTAGTAAGCAGTTAAGCTTAAAAGTCTCTATAATTGGGTGGAGAAAAAGCAATATATACAGGGGTTATCTTCTAACAACCACTGTTAGGGACAAAAATATATCTTCAGAATAATTTATAAACACAAATCAGCTCTGGGACTAATATTCTACAATCCTAACTCTTTCACCTATAAGAAACATTTCCCAACAACTTCAAACAGAGTTGCATGTCAATTCAAATGACATTAATTTTGAAATGTTTTTAAACAGCCAAGTGAGTAAGATATTACTGAGCTAAAGTACTAGGCCTCCTTTGTCAGCTTACAGTAACCCAGAGCCTGGAGTATGCAAGCTAAGTAATAAGAAAGTGTTCAAAAGCATATGCCATACCTCTTTTCACATATTTAGAAACCTAAACTTTAAATACATCCTTGGGAAAATGTATTCATATCCTGTCAAATGTATAACTGCAAACAAAAGAAGATTACCAGACAAATAAGCAGGTGATTTTTCCCTGAACCATGTGAACAACAGATTAATGGAGACAGTGGTATCACTATTCAAGGTTCATGTACTTGAAGATATAGTAAAATAGGCCATATTAAGCAGAAACCTTCACAAATCTAAAGTTTAAACAGAAAACTTTAGAAATCCTTCAACAAATTCCATAACATAAATCTTCATTCTGAAAGACAGACTAATGCTATTGCTACTGGAATCAGTGACAAACTGCTCAGAATGTGCTCTTGTTCTGCTTATGACAAGAGACATCCCTGGCTCTAAGAATCATGGGGACAAGTCGGGGACAAGTCAGAGACGATGCAGGGACAAAGTGGGTGCTCAGTGTGCTGCACAGTCAATAAGCCTGCCCGCTGTTGCCTTGCTAACATAAGTGGATCATAAGATGTGCAAGAAGGTCTAGCAGATTTAATTCATTTCTCTCTTTTTTGACATGTTTTTCTGATAAACACTAATAGGTGCTATATACACAATTTCTATAAGATACAAAAATGTTAGGAAAAACATCCATAATTCTGTCCTCTAAAGAAAGTCACTGTTTATATTTTTAAATGTTCCCTTATTCCTCCTCCTGTGCATCTGCATTTTGGACATGCTTAGTATTAGTTAACTATTAATTAACCAGAAAATTATCAAGTACTCCAGAATGCTAACAGTGTGCTGCCACTGCCCAAGAGGTTTTAAATATTTGAGAGGCTGAGGCAGGAGGATTCCCAAGTTTGAGGCCAGCCTTGGCAACTTAGTGAAATCCTATCTAAAAATAAAAAATAAAAAAGGGGTGGAGATGTGGCTAAGAGGTAAAGTGCTTCTGGTTTAATGCCTAGTTAAAAAAAAAAAAGAATCTTTACATATCATTTAATACTTAGTCCCTCTGGAAAGAAAAGGAAAGGAAAAGCTTAGAGAGGTGTCAAATTAATATCTTGATTTCATTCCACTCATACACCTCTCTCAATGCTTACTCTGTCACCACAAGCAATCCTTAATCAGTGGAATTCGCTTCCCCACATAAAACACAGAAAAATGAAATCTGAAGTAAAACTTCTCCTGAGGAACAGAAGGTCTTCAAAATGAACTTTCTTTACAGACAGAGGTTAGTGCTTCCACTGTGCAAATATTGCCAGAACCTGAACCGACTTGCAGATCCTGTGAGTCAAACATTTATGAGTGTCTGCTGCATGCCAGCATCATTACTGACAAGGGTGCAAGGAAGAGCCATGTGACTCTCCTATGGGGAGACAGACTTCTACAGAGGCAAGTCAAGTACAATGCAACTTGGGGAAAGGACACAAGGGCAAAGGAAACTGGGAGGAAGTTAGATTTATTTTACAAATTAACATTTATGCTATTGAATTTTAAACTGATAAACATGTAGAAATAAAATAATTGTGGTGCCGGGTGGGGTGGCACACACCTGTAATCCCAGTTGCTCAGGAGGCTGAGGCAGGAGAATTGCGAGTTCAAAGCCAGTCTCAGCAAAAGCAAGGCGCTAAGATACTCAGTGAGAGCCTGTCTCTAAATAAAATACAAAATAGGGTTGGGGATGTGGCTCAGCGGCCAAGTGCCCCTGAGTCAATCTCCAGTACCAAAAAAATTAATAAAATGAAAAAAAAATCTAAATAATAAAAATTACTGAATCTGGAGAAAACCAGAGGGCCCTCAAATGACTGTCAATTAGCTCTTTGACTTAAATACATATGGAGGTATATTTTGTTAATTGAACATTTAAGCAAATAAATTTTTTCTCATGGGAATTAGCCCTGTAACCCACCTGTCTCCTGAATTACATCAAAATATGGATCTCACTTACCTGTCACAGTGAGAACTGCCTCTTGAACTGCTCTGTCCTGATTCATGCTGTGCATCCAAAAGAATCTTTTCCATGTCTCCATTGTGGATGGAAGAGGAAGAAGGTACATGTTCCAGCCCCCCATTCTTCCCATTGCCATTATCATTGCCATTGCTGCTATTCATGGGTAGCTCCACCCAGGAACCTGTTGGACAAGTCAGATAAGTTAACCACAGCAAGACTGAAATCTGTCATGTGCACGGATGCTAATATGGCAAATTCAGATAAGAATTCTGACTTGCTTTAAAAGTGAATGCAAAAGTATTCTGAAGAAAGTAAACAAAGTGCAATAAAGTCAAAATCTATATTGTTCTGTTCCTGAAGCAGCAAATGCAATTGGTTAATTGCAAATGACTAATTTAGAAGAAGCTGAAAATCTAAAACTAACTTTTTAGAAAACAAGTTTTCTAAAAATAATTTTCTCCCTGCTTACAGTTTGGTCTACACACAATCAACAATTTCCTGAAAAAAAGAAGCTGCTTTTCAAAAAATAAATAGCTACTTCATTACTAGTCAGGCTACTTGCCTTTAATATTTTAGTTTCTCTCTCTCTCTCTCTCTCTCTCTCTCACACACACACACACACACACACTCTTCTTAGCCTGCCTCAGTTATTTAGTATCTGCATCACAGATTAATAATAAATATATGACTTAGAAAAGGTCATACAGTTCACCAAAATAGGTTTAACAACTAACTACCACAAACAATAATGAAGCTGCTACAGAAGAAATCTATATTCAAGGAAAAATTTGGGGGCTGGCGTTGTGGCTCAGTGGTAGCACGCTCGCCTAGCAAGTTCGAGGCCCTGGGTTCAATCTTCAGCACCATATAAAAACAAATAAAGGTACTGTGTCCAACTACAACTAAAAAATAAATATTTTTTAAAAAGAAAAGAAAAAATTTTAATTTATGTACAAATTTAGAGCATAAAAATAATGCAGCTGGTTCTTAACAAAATCAGGTGAAAATGACAAAAAATTCTGGGAGAAAAAAAGTTTTAGCTCTAGTCCCTATATTTGTTTCTTCCTTTCCTCTTTTATTCTGTCTTCTTTTTTATGTACCAAACTTACCTGGTGAATGTGGCTCTCTCTTTTCTCTCCCACAAGTTCCTACTTTCTAGGGTTTTCATTAAGCCCTGCTGGTTTGGAAGCAGAAGCCACTACACAGGGCTAGAGAGAGACGGTGGATTTGTGGGGGGTAAATAGTCAAAGAGGGTGGAGCCTTACGAAAAGGGGAGGAGGGGCACTTGTAATCTGCATAGGTCCTGAAAAGTTTTTACTAGCCCAATGAGTTTGCAGAACTATTAGTGCTTGAATTTTAATAAGAATCGATAACAGTACCAAATAAACCAACGTTACAACAAAAAGAGAAGAGTGTTTTCATAACTTCCCTTCCTTACAATAAACTTTTAGAAAATATAACCCAGCAGGTTGGTAGGGCCTTTCCTCTGAATTCTCCACAGAAGTGCTGAAGACTCTCAGGGCTAAATGCAGAGTTCCATCAATCAGAATAATCACTAAAACAAGTCAAAACCTAAAATACACTCTAAATAAGGCCATGACTATATCTGATGGAGGGTGAGTTCACTGTCCTCCTTACAAGAGAAAGGAGAGCTCAGGCATACCTGACTGGCTGGAAGTCTGACCCTACCTCCCACCCTCTGTGTACAACCTTCCTTTCTGCCTTCAGCTTCCTCCCAGAGGTAACACTGCCTAGGACCCACCTCCATGGGCTGCCTGGAGAACTACCATAGTAATATAAGGTACCTAAACAGAAGCTCATGCACATGCTAGGGAAAAAGAGTCTGAATCTATAAAGTATGTTCTCAGAACAGTGTTTGCTAAATAAAGTCAGCCTGTCCTTTCCATCAAAGGCAGCCCCAGAAGCAATCACAGTCCCAGATTCATCACCCAAGACAGTGCCACCAAACAAGAGTAACAAACACAAGTTGCAAAGCTGAGAGATAACTGAATATTTGGAATCCCTTAAAATTTAGAGCTCTGCAAAATATTTTTGGGAAGGAGGGGGAGAGAAAGAGATAAAGAGAGATAGAGAGACAGACATATACTAGAGATGGAGAAAACTGGTATATGCTAAACAAACTTTTTCCTATTCCCATTGCTTCTAGAATTTTCAAGCTTCTTTTGAAACCAATAAAAACAGTTCATCTTGTACAGAAGCCCAATGTGTAAAATAAACAAAAGCCCAGAGCTACCTCCTGCAGAAACAGAACTAAGGACCCAGTAGTTCCAGATGGGTCTGTATGGAAGTCGGTCTTCCCTAAAACACAATTAATCTGTACTTGATGTACATCTGATCAAAGGGGAAAAAGGCAGCAATAGCGCCAAGTTTTCTGGTCCCTACTTTCCGAAGAACTTCCAAACCAATATGTGAATCATATTTTCTGCACTAAAAATACATAAGCCATTATTAATCTAGCATTTGTTTTAGGGACCTTGGAGAGACCCAGCTAGAAAAGTTTAGGGAAAGAATGCATGGTGGCCTTAATACTCTGGAGAGCACTCACAGCACTTCTGCTTAAGGTAGACTGTTTTTATGTGGCAAATGTTAGTACAGTGGTTAAAAACAGACCAAGCCAGATCCCCACTTATCACTTAGTGCTTTCACCCCCTGGACAAGTTTCTTAACCTCTTTGTGTCTCAGTTTCCTCAGTAAAATAGGGATAATAGTAGTATCTGCCTCACAGAGTAGTTAGAATTATTGAATAAAGTGAATAGAAAGATAAGGATCCCTGTAAGTACTATGTACATGTCGCTACAATAATTATATTGTTTCTTTTTAAATAATTTCTGATTGTAAAAAAAAATGTGTTCTTGGAAAATATAAACATCAGTATAAAATGAAAGAATTAATGCTTCTCCTCAAAACCTCCTGTTCCTACTCCCAAAGGAAAACATGCAAAGTGGTTTTAAAGGGAAACTTCCGAAGTTTTTTGAAATACAGTTGTTGAAAGACTTTTTGTTTTGGCCCTGGGGAGTGAATCCAGGGGTGCCCTACCATGGAGCTACATTCCTAGTCCTTTATATTTTTTGAGACAAGGTCTCAATAAGTTGCAAGGGCTGGCCTCAAACTTATCCTCCTGCCTCAGTCTCACAAGTAGCTGGGATTACAGACGTGTGCCACCTTGCCTGGCTTGTCTTTGTATTTATAAAAAAATAGAATTGTACTATATGGACATTTCTGTAAGTAACGTTTTTCACCTAAAACTTTGGAGATGTCTTCCAATATCAATACTTGTGGACATTCACTGTTCTGACCAATGCATTGCACCTCACCTATTATAAAAATGCACCATATTTTAACCACTATCCAATGGCAATGGGTAACCATTAACCATTACGCAAATAATTCTTTTTAATATTTATTATTGTAACTGGGGCTTCAATAGACATTTTGGAGGGTAATTTCCATTTCCAGCCTAGGAATTTCCTAATGTTCTAACTTTACCAGTCCTTCACAAAGTCCCCTTTCACTTGGAAAGGAAGCAGGGCAAGATGTGAGCATTGTGCTGTCCAAGTAATACAAGTAGAAAACAAATTCAGAGTGAATTATCTTCCTAATACGCAAGCTCTAAATTAAGAACTAGATGTTTTCTCTGTTATTTTAAAAAACTATTTACAAGCTGTTCCTTTATGCCAGTTTGTACATAGACACAATGACATTTTCTAGTTTAAGTCCTTGGGAACTGCTCAGAGAGAACATGAAGGCTGATCCAATAACTGTGATGACATTCATTCCTATGATTTCATAATCACCAGTTGAATCCTCTTGAGGGTTGGGGAGGTAAAGAAGGAAGAGTATTTCTCCTCATTTCCCCCCAACTTTTCGAGGCTGTGTATAACTGGTATCTTCAACAGGGACAACATACTTCATATTTATCTTCTTTCCTCAAAGACTTTGTTTCAGGAATCTGATGCTAGAATCCAGACCAGGCCTTCAACAGTCACTGGCATTCTTCTAAGAAATATGTTGACTTTTTTGCACAAATAGGTGCTTACATACCAGTGACTTATTTATTCAAAACACTATTACAAGGCAGTGGTATGTCATGTGTCACAGTCTTAAGAGCCCTCCTGCCATACCTGGGGAGCAAGAACATTGCAGTTGAAGAGATTTAAAAAGAAAAAAAAGGCTGTTCCTCCCCTTCAAGCAGTAAGAATTACACTCCTATGTTAATTTGCCTTATAGGTCATGTTGAATCTTATGATATAAAAGTCTTATTCAAATATTCTTAAGGAATTTGGTAGCTTTCTTAAGAATAGAACAAACAACTGAAAATGACCTTTCAACTTTAAAAATAGTCTGGATATTTGCCCTCTAACTTGAAATAAAAGCAAACAGTCCCCCTAGAGTGGCCAAAAAAAAAAGAAAAAAAAAAAAGAAAAAAAATCAGAGAAAGGTTTCACTATTTCAAATATTTCAATAATTTGCTATTCAAACTCTGCTTTGACCCCTGAACTAAAGATAAAATCCCAAACCAGAGATAATCTATGGAGTTTCATCTTCTGTTTTTCAGTTGTGCAACTTTACCCAGCAAAGTACGAGAACTTATCAGCAATTCAGATATTATTAGACGCCTGAACAAGTTGTTTTGCCCAGTGACTAAAAATCCCTTTAAGGAATCAATAAGGTTTCTAGTTTTGTTCAGTCCAGTGTTGTATAATGAGCTTAAAAAGCAAACAAAGAGGCAAGACAAGACAGTAATTAATTAAGGCATTATCAAAAAGCTGTTTAGAAACTTTTGAAAGTTCAGCCTATCCCAAATAAAACATTTTTACCTAGCAAATTTCCCAAAGCAACATCTGGTAGATATCACATGCAGGCTGTGTCCTTCCACTTCTGTAAGAACTAACAAAAACATAGCAGGAACTGATTGGCCAAAGATATCAAGCACCTCACAGGTCTGCCAGACACCAAAACAAACATATATACAGTTCACTACCACCACCCCTTTTTGGTTAAATGGTCAAAGGAAAGTTAAAAGCCCTTTGCTTTCTGTGAAATCATGAACATGTACTGACCAAATTCCTAACTCACAAGAAAACACTGAGCAAAATTAAATAAAATACTGGGCTGGGGATGTGGCTCAAGTGGTAGCGAGCTCGCCTGGCACCCGGGTTCGATCCTCAGCACCACATACAAACAAAGATGTTGTGTCTGCCGAGAACTAAAAAATAAATATTAAAATTCTCTCTCTCTCTCTGCCTCTCTCTTTAAAAAAAAGAAAGAAAGAAAATACTAAAAGAAATAAAACAGGTTGGCTACTCTGTACATGAGGCAGAATGATAGGCTGAAAGAATAAAATACACACTCAGGCCTATTTAAGAGATGTGTCCTGGAAAGAGCACCAGATTGGATCAAAGTGGGAACAGGGCTCCCACCTCTGGACTTGGGAAAGACCTTTGTATCTTTACTAGTAAATAACAGGGGACATTTATCTCTTAAGTCTCTTCTCATTCTAAAATACACCTAAGAAAAGTATGCTAAAAATGGATATAAAGTCCCACATTAATACGTAATACAAGTAACATTTAAAGATACACAAATCGACTCTTATTTACTGTGTCAAACAGTATGAATATCTTATTCTAAAACACAGATACTTAAGCTTTTTTTTGACAAGTCAACATTTAGGGAATAATTTCATCAAAGGAGGGTGCAGCAGAAATAAATAATGAAAGCATCTTAAAATATCCCAATTCTGCCGCCACCCTGTGAGAACAGGAACTCTCTTCCCTAAAATGGTTAGGCCATGTTGAAGCACCTTCCTCTTATGAAAACGACTGCCTGCATGACCTTTAAGCACCCAAGTGCTTTCTGAACAATTCCGCCTGGCCCCATGCTACCTCTTTCATAAGAGAGGAATTACAGAGAGGGTGGGCAAGACCTTCCAAGAGTAGGCGCTCTCACGACAGCCAGGAACACTGTTAGGACAGGACGTCTGAGCGCCCGAATGTTGGGGAAAACAACTGTCGTCGGTGGACACTCCATCCTGCCCACGAAAATTCCGTTTCTGAAAATCCACTGTCCAGACTCCGTGATGGGTGCCACCTTGGGTGGTCACAAGGATGTTCTTAAAACAGGTCGCTGAGTACACAACCCACCGTTTGAAACCGGAGTAAAATCACTTCGGCAACTTGAGGGAAAGCTCAAACAGGAAAAAAGAAAAAGCAGGAGCAGAGCCTCCTCAGCGCCACACGTGACTCCAGTAACCGCTGAATTACCAAATGGTTTTCCTGACCCGCGTGTGGCAACAAAGGGACGCCGCCCGCGGGCTCGGGTCCCGGGCCCGAGCCCCGCCGCGCGGGAGGGCCGACTGGCCCCGCACACCTGCTCGGCTGCACGTCCCGGCCGCCCGCGCTCCGCCCGCCAGCCGCGTCCATCCCCCCGCGTCCCCGCTGCACGTCCCCAGCCCGGCCCACGTCCCCCAGCGGCCCGCTCCGCCCCCACGGCCCGCCCCCTCCCCGCCCCGCAAGCTCCACTTCAGGGCTGGCGCTCGGGGTCTAGGAGACCCCTATCAGCTCGCCCCGCGACTGTGGCCTCCAGCAGCCCCAGCCCAAGACCACGGCAGGGAGACCCACAGGCCGAGAGGAAGACCCGAGCGCCTCCTCCTGACAGGAGACGGAAGCTGTCAGTCACCCGAACATCCTCAACCTGGACCAATGGGAGGCCTTCTCCTCCCGCCCCCCGCGCGGCGCTGGCAGCCGCGGCCGGAGCAGCTCCTCCTCCCCCATCCCTCCACCGAGTCTGTCGGCCCTGCACTCACTGTTGAGGCCGGCTGGCGGAGGCAACGCCTGTTCCCCTTCCTCGCAGTTGTTGTTGTTGTTGTGCAGGGGCGGCGGTGGCTCAACCAAATGAGACGACATTGTCGGGCGGCTGGAAGAGCTGCGGCCACAGCTAAGAGCGTCTCCGGTTCTCGGGCGGCAACACAACAAGCCGAGTCCCCCGCCCCCTTTTCTGCGCCTGCGCAGTCCCGCCCCTCCTCTGACGTCAAGGCCCGCCCCGGGCACGTGATGACAACACAACAAGCGGCGGGGCGGGGTGGGGCGGAGCGGGGGCGTTCCCGTGCTGGTCCGGGACGTGCGGACGCGAAGTCACGCTGACGCGCGAGCCTAGAACGAATTCTTGCGTGTAATTTGGGCTGACCGGATGCAATGAATTATGCAGATGGCACTGGGCTAGAGGATACGGAGAACTGTGGAACGAGGAAGTGCGAGGTGCTAAGGTGCTAGCGCCCAAATCTCCCACACGGACTGGATCTCCACGTTTTAGCCAATCCTTGTGCATTTAGTTTTTAAATATCTGTTAAGAGCTCACTTCTGTAAGGGGTATCGTGACACAAAGCAAAAATTCCCAGTTGCTCCCTGCCCTAAACCTAAAATATACCTGGTGAGACAAAAACCGTGGAATCTAAGGTTTCCTGAAACTTGCTAAATGAAAGGGAAATTCAGAAAAGCCCAGAAGAAAATAATTACTCAAATCTGATCAACCACCTAACCTATTTCTGGGACATGACTTGGGAAGCCATGTAGCCTGTGCGTGGGTGAATCCCAACTGTGTTCCTAAACACTCCTACATCAGATCTCTGTCTTTGTACGATTTCCTTGATCTGATTTATGTGTGGCCATGTATTTCTCCCAGTCTGTTACTTCTTGTAACTTTGTTTCACAGTGCAGACCTATAAAGTTGTAGTGTGACAATCTGTCACGTATATAGGATTTGGGAAAAAACTCACCCAGGATTATGAATCTATTCTCCCATAACTTTTATCTAATGCTCTTACAGGCTCAATTTTATGTTGAGACCCTAATTCACCTGAAATTTACTTTTCATATGTTGTAAAATATTTAACGTCAATTTTTCCTATTTTTTAGTCAATTGACCCAAAGATTTCATTAATTTTTAAGGCATCCTTTCTTCCACTGATTTGAAATTAACTTTCTAAGGTTCTAAATGCTCCCAAAAGGAGGATCTA